GCCCATGTCATCTCCCCGAGCCCAAGTTATGTCTCTGAGCTTGCATTATGTCCCCAAGCCTGGGTCATCTCCCCGAGCCAACATCATCTCCTCAAGCCCAATCATCTCCCCAAGCCCACATCATATTTCAAAGACCACATCTCCCCAAGCGCACATCATTTCCCGAATCCCGCATGATCTCGCCAAGCCCACGTCATGTGCCCTAGATGGCATAATATCCACGAGCCCAAGTCATCTATGCAGACCCGTCTCATCTCCCAGAGCCCACGTTATCTCAAGGCCGTGTCATCCTCTGAGCCAACATCTCCCCAAGCACACATCCTCTCCCCAAGCTCACATCATCTCCCCAAGCCCACATCGTCTCTCAAAGCCCACATCTTCCCCCCAAGGAGACATCTCCCAAAGACGGCATCATCTCCCAAGCCCGCATCATCTCCTGAAGTTGCGTCATCTCCCAAATCCCGTGTCATCTCCCCAAGCCCACATCATCTCCCCGAGATGCAAATCCTCATGCAAACTAGTTCAGAGTGGGTGGAAAGGGAATGGTGGGGACCAGCAGTGTAGTTGATGTTGTGAGTTCACGAGAAACTCCTCACGTCACCTCTTCACACACACACACACACACACAAACTCACCACAGCACAAACACACTGCAGTGACTGATAAAGTGTTTTAAAATATTTGAGAGACTATCATTGTATCCCCTGACAGGAAAAGTCATTTCTTGTGTATTTGACTCCTAAACCTTCAGGATCTAGACTCATGAAGATTGTATCACAAATACTGAGGGGATTCCGAGGTATAGAAGTGGAGGCACCCCTCTCCCTCCCCGTCCTGGTTCTCCCACCCATGCACGCTCCATTGTTCAGGATAATAATGTTCTATCAAGTCACCACTCATGCTGAATTGGCTAGTACTGAACTATTTGCTCCTAAAGGAAATACAGGGTTAGGTTCCTGTGAGCTTCTGGTCTCAGTGTTTTCATCAATATTTGCCCAAATCCTTGTAAAACAGGCCCATCTTATCAGTGCTGGAAACCTGCTCATTCACATAACCCTGTGCAGGCATTTTAAAAATTCCTCCTGACCTGCAGAACCTGCCTCACCTGCAAGTTTCACATTTTTCATGCTGTGTTGGCTTTTGAAATGGGTGAACCAGCACTGGCCCAGAGTTTAATGTTTTCCTGGCCCTGAGGAATGTGATCGTAAATTTCTTTGGCTTTTAGCCTCAGAGGAATGGTTTCCATTAAGCTTTTTTTTTTTCTCCAATCAGTCCTCATCTCTGAATCCACAAATTTAGCCCCTTTTCTATCTCTTCCATAGGTTCATCACACACCAGAGACGTGACATTAGCACTTGGCAGCGTGACTTGATGTGCAGGTCAGTGAATGTCTTCTTCCTTTTTCTGGGTGTCCCATATGATTGATTGCTTAACATTAACTAAAGACACAGCACTGTGACTCCTGCCTGAACAAAGCTTATTGTAACACACGCCTTCTCTTCAAAAGGCATATCGTGACATTCTTGTGCTCGGGAGTACTAGGCAGCACTCTGCTTGGGGGCCATTTCAAACAGTGTGACCACTGTAAAAAGCCACAGAAACGTGAAAGACGCAGCACTAAGTAGGCTGCAGAAAGGACAGCTGTTCAGTGTGAGCTGACCCAAGAAGGCGGTGTTGCCTTGTTCAGCCTCTGCTGGAAGTGTTTGCACAGGAATGACGCTACATGTCCTCAAAAGATGACAGAAGTGCCACCAGTATCAATTTTGTGGCTACAAAGACATCTTGGCAAGTTGGCAAATTTGAAAAACAGAATCTGCAAGTGATGAGGATTAACTCTGGGAATGATGCACTTTGGCTTTGGGAGGACCAGTTTTTAATCCTTTAGGGCTGCTCTAACAAAACACCATCTATTGAGTGGCTGAAACAACAAATACGTATTTTTCATAGTTCTCGAGGCTGGGAAGTCCACAATCAAGGTAGAGGCAGATTTGGTGTTTGGCGAGGGCCCTCTTCATGGCTTGTAGATAGCTGCCTTTTCCCTCTGTCTTCATATGGTGGAAGGGACAAAGGAGCTCTCTTGAGTCTCTTTTAATAAGGGCACTAATCCCACTCACGAGGATTCCACCCTAATGACCTCATCACCTTACAAAGGCTCCACCTTCAAATAGCATCACACTGCGGAGTATGAATCTGGGGGACACTAACATTTGGCCTTTAGAAGCCAACATCGTGTACTGATTGTTAGTTCTGAATCTATACCAAAATCCTGTAGTGAGGCTGTAACATTCCATCAGTTCTCTTCCAGCTGGTGCTGGCAGAATATGGAGAGTCATCTGTAATCCAGGTCACAAGTTTCCCCATCAGTCAGCTGCTACTCCAAGCTGTGGACCATCAGTGTTCTGTTCTCCACAGCGTCTGAATCTACCAGATCAGACACCTAATCCAGGAGCCCCATTTCTGCGCGTCTTTCCCAAAACCATTTCTGGACAAAATACTCCAGCAGTCAGGGTTCAGTCAGGAAAACACATCATTCAGGCTATTTAAAACTGGAAAATACTCCACTCAGTGTGTTCAGGGCTCCCACAACTGCTGAAAGGACTACAGAAGCAAAAGCCAGGAGAGGCAATGCTGGCACCTGGGAAGTCAGGACATTCAGGAACCCTGGGAAAGTGGCAGTGATGGTCTCAGACACCTGTGGCACCCTAACACGTGATTCCCAGGACCTGCATCATGTATGGAAACCATTCTCGCATCTACAGAAGCCTGCTAATCTGGCCCCATTTCTAAAGCAGAAATGGTCTCTGCTTCTCTTTCACCCTCCAGGTCTCAAGCAAGGGCCAGGCATGAATGGAAGCAATGCTAGAAACGTGGAGCAAGGGAGCGTCTCCAGATTTCCAGCCCATACAGTGCCGGGAAGAGTGTGGACAGGGGCAGGGATGGTGCCCAGATAACAGTCAATCTATGGGAAAGGAAAAAAAAAAAGCAGTCATGGAACAATATGCACAAAATAACACCACTTAGGGGAGAATAAAACTTTTACACAATAAATCTGCATCCTATAGCTGGATCAACACACAGACAGACATCTAGAAGGAAACACCGAGCTGACTACTGACGGTTACTTTGTGGCTGGTTGGAATGGGTAAAATCATAGGCAGATGAGTTTTATTCAAATTTTTTGGAAATCTTTTTGCTGTGAGAATGTATGTTCAGATACAGGAAATAAATTAGCTGGTAAAAGGATGGAGGAATGTAAGGTAAAAACCTGAGAGATGTTGGATTAAAAAAGGTTCTTTAATTTTTTTTAAGAGAATGCCGAATCTTATGTATATTTATAGACTGAGGGAAAGAGCCAAAGATTCTGAAGAAGTTGGGCATAAGACAGCAGGGACCAGTGGGGCAAGATCTCGGTGGGATCCGGAGAGGATGGGTGACAGTTCAAGGTGGT